GTTGATGTAACATTTTCTGTGGCCTACATTGTGTGTGCTCATCTATATATAATATAACAGTAAAAGGCTAATCACTGGCGGCACGACCGCATCGCCTTCAAAGTCAAATATCTCCGCTCAAACTTCTCGTACGCCAAAACAAATTCGATTACATCTTTTCGCAAAGATTTCTCTTTCTAAATAATATGGTTTGATCGTAGCTTGGGCAAATTTAGCGACGAACGAAACCAAAATCTCCACAATTTCGGATACTGTTCAAAATACTTAGGGCTGCTCGGGCACGATCGTGGACGTGACGTAATCAATACATACTGACAATAACGCCTTACGTGGGGTGGGACAGCATAAAGCGACAAACTAAGCCCTAAGGCTAAGTATTTTGAACAGTATCCGAAATTGAGGAGATTTTGGTTCCGTTCGTCGCTAAATTTGCCCAAGCTACGATCAAACCATATTATTTAGAAAGAGAAATCTTTGTGAAAAGATGTAATCGAATTTGTTTTGGCGTACGAGAAGTTTGAGCGGAGATATTTGACATTGAAGGCGATGCGGTCGTGCCGCCAGTGATTAGCCTTTTACTGTTATATCATATATAGATGAGCACACACAATGTAGGCCACAGAAAATGTTACATCAACCGCTCTAAATGAGCTCATGGAGTAATTAAAAGAATGCAAAGGTATTATACTATCATGTCAACTATATTTTATTGTTAAAATGTATTTATTTGACTAATTTAAGAATGTCTTTAAAATAGTTTGGTTGACTATAAATTTGTTTATAAAAACCGTTAAAAACCCGCAACACCTGATCATTCATTCTGAGATTGGGCCGCCTGTGAACTGAGTAGGTCTTAAAAAGTGTGTAAATTTCCGTTCGAATAGTTCCTGTCCATCAACTAACACTTACCAGTGATAAGGATAGCTAACTATATAGAATGTCTTTCAAAAATAAGTAACATTAACTGAAACGTTACTGTGTAACGGAGTAAACAATTATACACAATACAGTACTAGTAGGCCTATAAACTATTATGCAAACGGATGAACAGTCAATAGAATGTATACAACACTCAATAGGCGCAATTATAAGAGAACAAATTATGTAAAACACACTCTTTCAAATAAAGGAGTTGATGTGTGGAACAAATTAGAAACAAATCTGAAAAACATAAATTTCTATAATACCTTCAAGAAACTAATTAAGCAACACTTTATACTAAATCCAGTTACAAATACATAGATTCAGAAATCACACTTTCTTTATGCAGACAATGTCTGTCCATACATTGTCATTGTGCAAAAAAATACCATATAATAATCTAACTAGTGTCGGGAAAAAGGTTGACATTAATAATTAGTAGTAGCCTGCGAACAGACTCTCAAGCTGAATTGAGAGCCTGCATCGATGACTAATGAATTTGAATATCTGCGTCTCAAATCGTGACGCGAAATTCTCATTGGTCAGATGCTATAATTTATATGTTTCCGCTGAGCTCTATATATGTCAACTGCTTGAAGCACTATGCATAAAAAAGCACTATGGATAAAAAACACATTAACTGATCATATTGGTCTTGGCCGTCTTATCTCAAAGCACGAAATTTTCTGTTTTGAGAAAACAGTATTTAAAACATTTGAACTTTTGCTTGAATATCTTATATTTCGAACAATAGTATAAACTGTACGGTCTAAATTTAGTTTGCACGGTCTAAATTTAGTTTGCACGAAAGTTGTAAACAACACCATATAAGGATAGACATTCCATATTTGGAAAAACGAACGTTACGGGGCAGATATTCAAATTCATTAATCATCGATGCAGGCTCTCAATTCAGCTTGAGAGCCTGTTCGCAGGCTAAATTAGTAGTTAAATTTAGAGATGAGGTGCTGCCATATATGGAATTGAGTGACAGGCATGAGATAAAAGGAATGTTGTTAATTGTTATTGCATGGGCAATATATGTAACTGGGAGCGATTTGGGAAGGGATTATAATACAAAACACAAGATAAACGCGTAATTTTGCTCTTATTGTGGGGATCGAACGAAAATCTACCAAAAAGGGCACCTCCAGACGGGATTAACTTAATAAACGGGATATAGTGACAAACGTAAAACGGGATATTTTACACAACAATCGAGTTAGAGCAAAATTACGTGGTATATGTAAACAAATACAGAGATCGAGATGTTAACACGGCAATCGCGAAATGACGTCGAAGCACAAGAAGAACAAACCATCGCACAAAACGACATCGAGTCAACAGAAGCCAATTTCAAATCGTTGTTGAGAAAGCTCGCTTATTTTAACCGATCTACGGCTGATGCTCTAGAAAGTGAGTACGGAAGTGACAAAATAAACAGACAATATACTTTGCTTAAAACCAAACTGGACGAAGCGTACGTTTTAATACAAACTATACAAGGTTTAAAGTTAGATTCCGACGAGAGCGACGAAGCAATCGATCAATGGACTCAGGGGAAGGAAATTACAAGTGCAACCCTATGAAAATGCGGTCGAAAAGCTCGACGAAAGGCTAAAACATGACGAAAGTATACGCAAGGAAAAGGCTCGTAACGACAAGCTAAACGAGGAATCTATTATTCGAGACTGGATGAGGAAAGAAGAGCAGGAAGCTGAGAACAATAAAATAATTTGTGAGGAAAAATTCGCTTTACAACTTGAGGAAAAGAAATTGGAAATAGCAGAAAAGAAACGCGTGAAACCGAAATTACCAGATTTGCAAATATCCAAGTTCCAAGGAACATATCTTGACTGGGTGAGATTTTGGAGTCTTTTTTCAACTCAAATTGATCAAACATCCATTCCAGATGAAGCTAAATTTTCGTATTTGAAGGAACTTGTCATACCAAAGGTATGTGCAACAATTGAGAAATTACCAGCTGACGGTGTAGGGTATAAGAAAGCCAAGGAATTCTTAGAACAAAGATATGGTGACTCTAGTGAAGTGGTGAATGCCCATATTCAGGAAATAATGTCATTGCCAATTATTACTGGAATTTCAAGACCGAAGATACACAATTTTTACGATAACCTTTTGGGACATGTTCAAGCGTTGGAAACACTGGGGAAATTGGAACAGGTTGCCGGTAATGTGCGAATGACCTTGGACAAATTAGTGGGTATCCGAGCTGATCTAATTAGAACTGAAAAAGACTGGAAGAAATGGACCTTTACGGAACTTGTCGAAGCTTTACGTCAATGGGTCGAGCGCAATCCCCTACAACCTGGAGATAAAGATGGTGGCCAACATCCAAAATTTAAGCAAAGAGACAATCAATTTGCAACAAGAGATCACGTAAAGCAACGTCAATGTGTATATTGTGAAAATGACGACCATAGATCAGTGGAATGTACCAAAGTTGTTGATGTCGGACAGCGAAAGAGAATACTAAGCATAAAGAGACGGTGTTTCAACTGTACGGGAGAAAAACATAGAGCAAGAGAGTGCAAAAGTAATACCCAATGTTACAAGTGCCAACGTAAACATCATACATCCATTTGTGACAAAGCTGAACCAAGCCCTACAATGTGCCAACCGAACCAATCCAACGTGATATATCCTGTAGTAGTTGTTGAAGTAGAAGGAGTAAAATGTCGAGCGTTACTGGACACTGGTTCAGGAAATTCTTATGTATCTTCTACGTTGATGAACTTAACAAAAAAGAAGCCAATTAGACAAGAGATCAAAACCATAGAGATGATGTTGCATACAACTACGAAGACGATTGATGTTTACAATGTTGAAATCACAAACATTAATAAAAACTTTAGCATGTCGTCTGAAGTGAATTGTGTTGATCGACCAGTGCTGCTGACCTTGCAAAATCCACGTTATAGAGAAGTTATTGCCAGTAATTTACACCTTGAAGGCATAGAGATGGACGATGTTGACACGAAGCCAATGTTGCCAGTTCACATGATACTGGGTGCTAGTGATTATTCACGAGTCAAAACAACCACACCTACTAAAGTTGGAGATGATGGAAAACCAGTGGCTGAGAGAACGAGACTCGGGTGGACAATCATGTCGCAGGGACGGGAAATGAATCACTCATATTTAATGTTAACGAGAAGTACACATGAAGACTACATGGAACTTTGTAGTTTAGATGTTCTGGGGCTCAAGGATCGACCTGAAGGTGATCAAACAACCGTGCTTGAGGAGTTCAAAGAACAGTTAACTTGGAGAGAAGATGGAAAATACGAGACAGCACTACCATGGAAAGCTAGCCATCCCAATTTACCAACCAACCTCAACGTTGCGCGACCGAGATTTCAGTCACTACTGAAGCGACTGGATAAACAACCTGCCTTACTTGAGACATACCATCAAATCATCGAAGACCAAGTGGAACAGGGAATTGTAGAGATCGCACCAACAGAACCAAACGAGAAGCACGAACATTACATTCCACATAAACCTGTCGTTCGGGAACAAGCTGAATCAACAAAAGTTCGTATCGTCTACGACGCCTCCGCAAAGGTTAACGAAGATAGTCCGTCACTGAATGACTGTCTAGAGATTGGCCCTCCACTTCAACGAAAGTTGTTAGATATTCTTTTGCGAAACCGAGTTAAACCTG